ATTCCTTTGACTTTTCTTTCAATTAGCCTCGATTTTTTAACTGTGCAAGGTCTATCCAAATGCAGTCGAAAACTGAAAAAATCACATATATGGAAATGACGTTATGAAGTAGTAAGAAATGTAATATTAAGTCCTATCTGAAACATCATCCAGCAACGGGCAGTCGTGGTTTGACAATATTTACAAAAAATACCAAAAATGTGCAATATGATGTTGGCCTGGAAAGTTTAAGCATTACCCTTTAGTCATAATCTGCTTGTTAACCTTAACATCCGATGTCCAATACCAGGTGGCTGTATGCTAAGACGTGTAATAATTAATTCACGTATATGGCGAAAATTTTATTGTATTCCTCTCCTGTGGCTTGTGGTGATACAAACAATTTAGTAATCTCTACAAACATTGAAGTTACTTATCACAACTTCATCACAAGCTCAGTGGGGATCCAGCCTCTCGCTAATTATCAAGCTGTTCCTTCCATAATAAACTGTCTCTAGTTCTCGACAGCGCTGGCAGTTCATATGACTTGGCAAAGGAAATATGTATCAGCGCTGCACCCATTTTCCAGACTATACTGAGGAAACAACGGTTGTTTTAACAATTGAATGAAACGTAGACGTCAGTGACAGATATATGTGGATGACCTCATTCTTTCTTCATTTACATTCATACCCGTACCCAAGAGCAACATCGGGGCTATAATCCAATTATACATTTACATACCACTATCATTACATACATTCACCTGTTCTATAGGTGTTTGCCCAACTTTCCAATCTTTCTCCTTGATCTAAAGCTTTTCACCGTTTAAATGCCAGTACCAGCACTCTATCATGGATGGTTGGCAATTCAGAACCATTTCCAGAACGTATTGCTACAGCAAAAGAAACCTTGTTTCTATCATGAAAAACAAAGGCGTGGCAACGTAAAGCGCAAACTCGCAACAATACCTAATGCAGAGAAGTTATGATTCTACAAGTGTTGTGCTTTATATATTGTATTTGACTGATGAACGCTTTTGATTTTCAATATAAAGATGGCGCTTCAAATATTTTTACCTCTAATAATATTGACTTAATATCATCTTTTGTATGACAATTATTTGCTATATAAGTCACAACAAGAAACAAAAACAATATCATGTATTTACACCGCATTTCCATGAAAATGTTAATGGTGTTCGTAGCTGTGTGGAAGAGAAATGTTTGGATGTTCATGTCATTTGATGATTGCTATATCTACACTAGATGACTACTAATACTACAAATATATCTGTATTCCCTGCTATATATCCCTCAGCTGGTAATGAGGATTGTGTATTGATATCTGTGGACGTATTCTGTTACAGGAGATGAATTGCACGGTATATGCACCATGTGTATGATACGAACAACCGGCAATTGAAAATTTATCTCGATATAAACAGTATTGACATTTTTATTCCGACTGGAATGCGATATAGATATGTGATGTGGTTGATATTTCTGTGTGAGTTATTTAGCAAACACTTTTACTCTAGAAAATGCACAAGCAAGTAAAATCCAGTCCACTGCATTATATACAAGAGAAGGTAAAGTACTTGCCACGCGAGGTCATTCTCTATCAGACGGCAGTACACTTTACGTCATTTCTAAACATAGATGTCCATGGAGCTATCCGACAGATTGATTCTTGGGAGTTCCGACTGATGGATCTAACTGTGAACTGAATGACGTACTTCCATTTTAAAGTGACGTCTGAACTGACCGATTGAAAATGCTGAGCGAGGAAAGAATTAATTTTCAAGGCAAAACTTGATGTGAATTATGTTCGTAATGTACATATAAAAGTTAGACTAAGATGTCCCCGAATTTCCTACAGTGTTGTACATGCATGACATCTATCTTTATAAATATATACCAGCGAACGAAATTTGATTAAAATCAACACGGAGATTTTCGAGCTTTTTTTGGTTTGGGAATTTGTGCCGACTTTGCGTTAGCACGTTTAAAGGGAAATAACTCCAACTAGAAAAAACCTCTAAACAACTACTTGATCAAGTGACACCTCTCAAAATATCAAACGCTACCTATGTCATTCAACAATATATACAACACTACACATAATGCTTATGTGTTGACGAGCCGTTAAGAATGTCATAATTATAACAATGATAATAATAATAATACATTTTTGTGACGAAAGCAAAGCTTAAGATGACGAAGTTTTTACCAACGTATGGCATTCCGAATTATAAATATCATTATTTCATTTTGAACGAATCATAAAAACAAAGCAAAAACAACTAGGCCTAAGTTATAAATCCAATATTTAGACATTTCGGGATACAAAAGAAGAATCTCAATTGGATTTTCATTCAAAAGATAACTTTGATATCATATAATAATTGTGTATTTTAGAAAGAAAATATTAAACATTCGTTAGCATTTTTGTGGTTTTACTGCCGAAGTTCACTTTCAAGATAATAATACAATAGATTTTAAGTCGTGTTCCGATTTCCTATCTTATCTTATTATGTAATACTAAATGCATTGAAGATTTGGAATGATATTTTCAATCGGAGCAAAGACGTAAATCCAAACAATGGTTTAACTTCTTGTTTTCACTGTATTACATATACTGTTCCTCTGAAGCAGTGACATATCCATTTGTGAATGGAAGAAATCTCTTTAATAACATTAAAGCACCGCTCAACGATATCACACTATACTACTGTAAAAGGAAGAAGTATTGAAAAAGAACCTCCCGCCGCTGAAGTTCGAACTAGCGAACCGTTGGTCGGTAGCCGGACAATCTACCTCTCGACTAAAATGCCAGTTTCCTAATTTGGTTTTAAATTTCTACGCCACTCCCTCCTTAACAGTTTAATTAATCCTTTTTTATCCCGAATATAAACAAATGGCAGGTTTAACTTTTCAATGGAAGCCTCTCTATCTCACTCACAACGCCTTTATTCTTGGAGGTGTTAACGGTACCAGGTCTGTGATAGGAAGGAGTAATTAAAGACATCATGCCACCGCTTGGGTCCGAATTAGCGCCACTCCTAGTCAGACGTCGTACAGGTGTAGCCGCTGTGTAGCTATACATTTTATACTCTTCAATTTTACCTTTGAAAGTATCCTAAGTATCATGTTCTTTCTCTAGCAATCGGAATAGTATCAACATGTTTTGTGAACATAAAATGTGTACTTACAATAGATGTTGTTGAAATTTCCAATTGGAATTTTTAATTGCGATTGAAAGAAATCTTAATCAAAAGCAGAGTTTGTATAATAGTGTGAATTTTTGCGACGTAATATTATGTTGAACTAGTGGTTTAATAGATGTTACACAAAATGCAATGATTTCCATTTGTCATTTAGTTTCACTACCAGTTACCTCCCTTATAATGTACACTACGTTCTGAGCTTAGTTGGTCAAACTTATCTGCCCTCTCCTGCTCATAGTTGCACAAACGGCAATCTAATTAAGATTAGATTTCTCACTCCGCTCTCCTATTATCGGAACATTTCGAGCAGGTCTCTCGACACCATCCACACATCAGTGAATATTGACCTACCATGAAATCGATCAACATTTTAACAAGCTTCAACTTTATCCTGTGCTTGTTTGGTGGGTCGTCGGTGTCGTGATACTCGGAAAAAACAATCCACTCTCCAATTATGCTTCACCTGTGTAAGATCCGCCCATCCCAGAATCCATCCACACATTTCCTTACTTTTGATGTATCTGGCGAGGAAACTAGCGCAGTAATCACCCTGTTCTTTGTCCGTCATATCATACTAGCAACCGATAGCAATTTTACCATGTATTAAAACGACATCATGGTTAAAGATATTAAATTTTGGTATTGATTATGCGTGTTTTATACACTTCTAGTTACGTTTCTATGCTATCACAATAGTCACAGTTGATTTCCAATGTCCAGCTTGACCACTTCTTTGGTCCGGAAAACCCCTCTCAAATTTAACGCTGATAACGCCATGCGATGGTTTTGAAAAACGAGACAGTTCATTTTGTAAACACTAACACAGAAATGACAGAGTAGTGTCACAGTCAGTAAAATCTCATTTTTTCGTCACGAGATTTTGTTATGAGTGTGTCAAATGATATTTGATTATTCTAAGTGAATTCAGAATTACGAAATACGTATCTTTTGTCACCAACCGATGCGGGCGTGAAGACATTTTTGTTTACAGGCGACGACGTTTTTTTGCGCATGCGTTATCAATTGACGTATCTAGACTGTTGACCAACAGATGAAATATTTCTTGCTTTAATTATATATATGCAGTCTTTATAATAATGATAATAAACCATGGTGTAACTTTAGTGGTCTTGGCCAAATATACAAGTAGTGATGGATGTATTTTATGGAAACAAACGCGCTTCATAGACACAAGAATGAATGTAAAGTGATTCTTTATTAAATTATGCATGTAAATCAGAATTAATTACTATAATCCGAGACATATATAACACATATATGTGTTACATTTATGTATGTATGTCTCTGATATAATCTGTAATCCGGTGATGTGTCTTAACATTGGTTAGCATTAAGTAATAACGGATCTAGAGATATGACTGCAGCATTCAGTAATAACGGAACTAGATGTGGGAGTTTAGCATTGAGTAAGAGCGGATCAAGACATGCGAGTTCAGAACTGAGTTTATGCAGATCTGGATGTAAGAGTGTAACTTTGACTTAGCACGGATCAACATGCGTGTTGCAGTATGGAGTAAATGTGGATTTAGGTACGTACAGAACTAGGAGTGTGAATGTAGCCTTGACTAAGTACGGAACTAGTTGTGAGAGTGTAGCCTTGAATAAGTACGGATCTAGGTGTTTGAGTGTAGCCTTGACTAAGTACGGAACTAGGAGTCTGAATGTAGTCTTGACTAAGTACGGAACTAGGTGTGTGAGTGTAGCCTTGACTAAGTACGGATCTAGGTGTGTGAGTGTAGCCTTGGTTAAGTACGGAACTAGGTGGGTGCGTTTAGCCTTGACAAAGCATGGATCTAGGTGTGTTATTGTAGCCTTGACTAAGTACGGAACAATGTGTGTTATTGTAGCCTTGACTAAGTACGGAACTAGGTGTGTTAGTGTAGCCTTGACTAATTACGGAACTAGGAGTGCGAATGTAGCCTTGACTAAGTACGGAACTAGTTGTTTGATTGTAGCCTTGACTAAGTACGGATATATGTGTGTGAGTGTAGCCTTCAATAAGTACGTAACTAGGTGTTAGAGTCTTGCCTTGGCTAAGTACGGAACTAGGTGTGTGAGTGTACCCTTGGCTAAGTACGGAAGTAGGTGTGTGATTGTAGCCTTGACTACGTACGGATCTAGGTGTGTGAGTGTAGCCTTGACTTAGTACGGAACTTGGTGTGTGAGTGTAGCCTTGACTTAGTACGGAACTAGGTGTGTGAGTGTAGCCTTGGCTAAGTACGGAAGTAGGTGTGTGATTGTAGCCTTGACTACGTACGGATCTAGGTGTGTGAGTGTAGCCTTGACTTAGTACGGAACTTGGTGTGTGAGTGTACCCTTGACTAAGTACGGAACTAGGTGTGTGAGTGTAGCCTTGACTAAGTACGGAACTAGGTGTTTGAGTGTAGCCTTGACTTAGTACGGAACTAGGTGTGTGAGTGAAGCCTTGACTCAGTACGGAACTAGGTGTGTTAGTGTAACCTTGACTAAGTACGGAACTAGGTGTGTGAGTGTAGCCTTGACTAATTACGGAACTAGGTGTGTGAGTGTAGCCTTGACTAAGTACGGAACTAAGAGTGTGAATGTAGCCTTGACTAAGTACGGAACTTGGTGTGTGAGTGTAGCCTTGACTAAGAACGGAACTAGGTGTGTGAGTGTACCCTTGACTAAGTACGGAACTAGGTGTGTGAATGTAGCCCTGACTAAGTACAAAACTAGGTGTGTGAGTGTAGCCCTGACTAAGTACAAAACTTGGTGTGTGAGTGTAGCCTTGACTACGTACAGAACTAGGAGTGTGAATGTAGCCTTGACTAAGTACGGAACTAGGTGTGTGAGTGTAGCCTTGACTAAGTACGGAACTAGGTGTGTGAGTGTAGCCTTGACTACGTACGGAACTAGTTGTTTGAGTGAAGCCTTGACTAAGTACGGAACTAGGTGTGTGAGTGTAGCCTTGACTAAGTACGGAACTAGGTGTGTGAGTGTAGCCTTGACTTAGTACGAAACTAGGTGTGTGAGTGTACCCTTGACTAAGTACGGAACTAGGTGTGCGAGTGTAGTCTTGGCTAAGTACGGAACTAGGTGTGTGATTGTAGCCTTGACTACGTACGGATCTAGGTGTGTGAGTGTAGCCTTGACTTAGTACGGAACTAGATGTGTGAGTGTAGCCTTGACTAAGTACAGAACTAGGTGGGTGCGTGTAGCCTTGACTTAGTACGGAACAAGATGTGTGAGTGTAGCCTTGACTTAGTACGGAACAAGATGTGTGAGTGTAGCCTTGACTTAGTACGAAACTAGATGTGTGAGTGTAGCCTTGACTTAGTACGAAACTAGATGTGTGAGTGTAGCCTTGACTTAATACGGAACTAGATGTGTGAGTGTAGCCTTGACTTAGTACGGAACAAGATGTGCGAGTGTAGCCTTGACTAAGTACAGAACTAGGTGTGTGAGTGTAGCCTTGACTAAGTACAGAACTAGGTGTGTGAGTGTAGCCTTGACTAAGTACAGAACTAGGTGTGCGAGTGTAGCCTTGACTAAGTACAGAACTAGGTGTGTGAGTGTAGCCTTGACTAAGTACAGAACTAGGTGTGTGAGTGTAGCCTTGACTTAGTACGGAACTAGGTGTGTGAGTGTAGCATCGTGTAAGTACAAAAGGATTAAAATGTTTATCTCCAATATGAGTTATAACAAATATAGAGGTACAGTAATTGAATGGATTTGTCATTGTTCATCCTTTATATCTACAAAAAGGTAAGTGGTTAAGAAATGAAACACTTGATTAATTGGTAAGTGGTAAGATAATAATAATTGATTGGGATTTTTTTGTCATTTTTTAACTACGAAGAACCCAATCGATAACATTCAAGTATGCCGCTGCCAGTGGAAATTATTTTAGTTAACGAAGTGTAAAAACAGTCATGTCTCATTTCAGTTTTCTTCATTATGCAAGCCTTACAATGTTAATATACATATAATACTTGCAGGAACCCCCTACTTCACAATCTAGCTTACCTGTATAGACATGCACCCTTACTTCACAATCTAGCTTACTTGTACAGACATGTACCCTGCTTCACAATCTAGCTTACTTGTACAGACATGCACCCTGCTTCACAATCTAGCTTACCTGTATAGACATGTACACTTACTTCACAATCTAGCTTACCTGTATAGACATGTACCCTTACTTCACAATCTAGCTTACCTGTATAGACATGTACCCTTACTTCACAATCTATCTTACCTGTATAGACATGTACCCTTACTTCACAATCTAGCTTACCTGTATAGACATGTACCCTTACTTCACAATCTATCTTACCTGTATAGACATGTACCCTTACTTCACAATCTAGCTTACCTGTATAGACATGTACCCTTACTTCACAATCTAGCTTACCTGTATATACATGCACCCTTACTTCACAATCTAGCTTACCTGTATAGACATGCACCCTTACTTCACAATCTAGCTTACCTGTATAGACATGTACCCTTACTTCACAATCTAGCTTACCTGTATAGACATGTACCCTTACTTCACAATCTAGCTTACTTGTATAGACATGTACCCTTACTTCACAATCTAGCTTACCTGTATAGACATGTACCCTTACTTCACAATCTAGCTTACTTGTACAGACATGCACCCTGCTTCACAATCTAGCTTACCTGTATAGACATGTACCCTTACTTCACAATCTAGCTTACCTGTATAGACATGCACCCTTACTTCACAATCTAGCTTACCTGTATAGACATGTACCCTTACTTCACAATCTAGCTTACCTGTATAGACATGTACCCTTACTTCACAATCTAGCTTACTTGTACAGACATGCACCCTTACTTCACAATCTAGCTTACCTGTATAGACATGCACCCTTACTTCACAATCTAGCGTACCTGTATAGGCATGCACCCTTACTTCACAATCTAGCTTACCTGTATAGACATGCACCCCTACTTCACAATCTAGCTTACTTGTACAGACATGCATCCTGCTTCACAATCTAGCTTACCTGTATAGGCATGCACCCTTACTTCACAATCTAGCTTACCTGTATAGACATGCACCCTTACTTCACAATCTAGCTTACCTGTATAGACATGCACCCTTACTTCACAATCTAGCTTACCTGTATAGACATGTACCCTTACTTCACAATCTAGCTTACCTGTATAGACATGTACCCTTACTTCACAATCTAGCTTACCTGTATATACATGCACCCTTACTTCACAATCTAGCTTACTTGTACAGACATGCACCCTGCTTCACAATTAACGTACTTGTGTAGGCACCGTTCACACATCATGTACCCTACTCTAATTGTTTACTTCTGATCTAAACCTAAATTGTCATGAGGGATTAGACGTTCATGAAATACAATGCACGAATAATGCATGTCTATCTTGTTCACCAATTTTTATTACAAAAGTGGTTATCAGTGACTTTTTGTCCGGTGACAAAATAGTAAGATATTCTTGCACCTAGACACCCAATGTTCGCTTCCCAGTACAAACATGGAATAGTATGGCATTACCTACCCTGACCAAGAAGCGATTATTATATATTTTTGGTGTAAATTGTGTTAAATGCTACAGAGGAGTGTCTGTGGCTATATGCACAGGAAATATCCGTGTGTGAATGAACCCTTTTACAGCGATATGACTATAACACGGTTACTTACACACCGTAAGTACAGGTAGAGGTGTAACTATAACATGATTACTTACACACTGTAAGTACATGTAGAGGTGTGACTATAACATGATTACTTACACACCGTAAGTACAGGTAGAGGTACTTACACACACACCGTAAGTACATGTAGAGGTGTGACTATAACATAACTTACACACCGTAAGTACAGGTAGAGGTGTGACTATAACATGGTTACTTACACACCGTAAGTACAGGTAGAGGTGTAACTATAACATGATTACTTACACACCGTAAGTACAGGTAGAGGTGTAACTATAACATGATTACTTACACACCGTAAGTACAGGTAGAGGTGTAACTATAACATGATTACTTACACACCGTAAGTACATACACACCGTAAGTACAGGTAGAGGTGTAACTATAACATGATTACTTACACACCGTAAGTACATGTAGAGGTGTAACTATAACATGATTACTTACACACCGTAAGTACATGTAGAGGTGTAACTATAACATGATTACTTACACACTGTAAGTACAGGTAGAGGTGTAACTATAACATGATTACTTACACACCGTAAGTACAGGTAGAGGTGTGACTATAACATAACTTACACACCGTAAGTACAGGTAGAGGTGTGACTATAACATAACTTACACACCGTAAGTACATGTAGAGGTGTGACTATAACATAACTTACACACCGTAAGTACAGGTAGAGGTGTAACTATAACATGATTACTTACACACCGTAAGTACAGGTAGAGGTGTGACTATAACATAACTTACACACCGTAAGTACATGTAGAGGTGTAACTATAACATGATTACTTACACACCATAAGTACATGTAGAGGTGTAACTATAACATGATTACTTACACACCGTAAGTACAGGTAGAGGTGTAACTATAACATGGTTACTTACACACCGTAAGTACATGTAGAGGTGTAACTATAACATAACTTACACACCGTAAGTACAGGTAGAGGTGTGACTATAACATGATTACTTACACACCGTAAGTACATGTAGAGGTGTAACTATAACATGATTACTTACACACCGTAAGTACAGGTAGAGGTGTAACTATAACATGATTACTTACACACCGTAAGTACAGGTAGAGGTGTGACTATAACATAACTTACACACCGTAAGTACAGGTAGAGGTGTGACTATAACATGTAAGTACATGTAGAGGTGTGACTATAACATGGTTACTTCCACACCGTAAGTACAGGTAGATGTGTAACTATAACATGATTACTTACACACCGTAAGTACAGGTAGAGGTGTGACTATAACATAACTTACACACCGTAAGTACATGTAGAGGTGTAACTATAACATGATTACTTACACACCATAAGTACATGTAGAGGTGTAACTATAACATGATTACTTACACACCGTAAGTACAGGTAGAGGTGTAACTATAACATGGTTACTTACACACCGTAAGTACATGTAGAGGTGTAACTATAACATAACTTACACACCGTAAGTACAGGTAGAGGTGTGACTATAACATAACTTACACACCGTAAGTACAGGTAGAGGTGTAACTATAACATGGTTACTTACACACCGTAAGTACATGTAGAGGTGTGACTATAACATAACTTACACACCGTAAGTACAGGTAGAGGTGTAACTATAACATGGTTACTTACACACCGTAAGTATATGTAGAGGTTTGGCACGTATATTTGTTACACGACACAGAATTGTTTGTATTCTATACTTGTAATTGCATCAATAAACGCTATTATCGAATCTGGGTTGACTTTGATCGTCAGAATATGGAATATTTGTTGATATTATGTAATTCCTAAAGTACACAGGTTATGTTAGGTGTGTCTTACTCTCCTGTGTTACAATTTGTGCATGTGTAGTCGTCGTTTTAATATCTAACCACAACTGAAAATTAAATTTAATCAAATCATTCTGTGTGACAAAATTCTTTATTGTTATAGAATGCGCAATATCAAAAATAGGGGAAAAATATGGATGTCCCATCCTTTTCCAGTTCATCAAAAGTAAATAATTTAGGTAAACAAGATTTATTTATAGGGGGGAATGCATTATCAATATTAAGTCCTTTTTTAGGCTGGAATACGGTTTTCGGAGTGATGTAGACAGAACCGCTGGACTCCATGGACGGGTCTTCGTTGAAGTAGTTAAAGGGCGTCAGTTGTATAGACAAAGTGCTACCAGATGTGGCAGTGTTGGGTATGTCTTCAGCCTTCGGGATATGAAAGGTACCCAATGTCAGCCAGAAAACAAGGTCCTTCAACAGAAGTAAAAAGAAAACGGTCAATGTTATCTATATAATTATACATTACACTGATCTACTTGTATATTGTTGAACCTCGACAGGTCTGTAATGTGATTTACCTGTGTTAAACAGAATTTCGTTAATTTGTAAAAGAACATTGATTAGATAACGTAGAATATTGGCAAAGTATCGCTTCTTAGACGACACAGAGTTTATCAGTTTATACTTGAATAATGATTGTGATATTGCGTCAGTAACTACACTCGTTAAATCTGGAACACAGTTTTTGTTTTTTCTTTTTCTTTTACAATACGATGTCCGGCATTTCGAAACAATGTATTGTCTCAACAACGAGGTCACGTTTTGTCTGAATGGAAGAGATGTCAAACATTTCAATGTCATTTTCTCAAATGACTTGATTTTGTCTTTTGACGTTTCGTCCGCGTGAAAAATAATTCAAAGTCTACCATAACAATCAAACGTGTTTTGTAAGCTTTTTGACAGGTAATTTTCAGATGATGGGACTCGCCGCAGCTATCAATAGCAGGGAAGAGAGAGTTCATTGCAGTCTACACGAGTATGGAAACATCAGCAGGGGGCCCGGAAATATGTAACACTCCAGGACCTATCCTGGTATGTTATAAAAGTTACTGGGTTTTCTATGGAGTAGATGAATATGTGGTAAACATGTTATTTCTCTACAACCCTTTTATGGGGTATAAGTAGAATGATAGGTTTTTGTAGTGCAAATATAACAGTAACATGTCATTATTACCAAGTACTGATCATGTCCCCACGAAACATTATAATATTTTGTTAACAGACAAGTTCATATTTTACCAAGAGTGTGACATTTTTCAGGCCCCTGTGGTAGTAATCTCTTACTTCATCAACGATGTTTTCGTCGTCTTCTATGAATGACTGGAAGTCGACGACAGGTTCGCCGGCATCAACTGTGGTATGTACAGATCCGCTAGACTCCTCTATGTCTTTGTGTTTGGTTACTGCCATCTGGTAACGTGACCAAGAAATAGCACTTTCGAACCCAGTGTTTTTAGGCAGCAACTGATTGGCAAATCCATTCGCCTTAATTTGATATCCTCTGTTCTCACCGTACTCGTTTTTCATTTTATTATTATACACGATATGGTGTTTTGGTAGAGAAAAGTTGAATTTGTGGACTGCCTGTAATTCTGTAGTTTTGAGATGACGAGTTAATTGATATCGGTAGCTGTCATCATTGCCTGTACCATCGAGATCTGGAGAATTGAATCGTTCAACATCAATATCCAGTGTTTCGTACCTATTTTTCCTTCCTAAGACATCGATATCTAGTTTGAAATGGAAAAGATGCAGATGCATTGGCGCTGTCGCGTCTTTTCCTACTGTAAATCCGTATTTTCGCTCCGACGGATGTTGAAAAGTTGTAAGAACATAACCTGTAGGATAAACCTTTACTTCTATAGCACCATTCTCATAGAACATGTAGTCGAGTATGTAATCATAGTTGTTGATAACATAGATAGTCCTAAATACCAGAACTGTGGCCACTAAACCACCATAAAACATATCTGTGCCTGCTTCTATTGTAGAATGATGCCGACGCAAAGGACGACCAAGGTTGTGTTCAAATATACAAATTGCATTCGGCAGAACACCTCCCCCGTGGAATTCGTCTATCTTTATGGTGACATTAAGGAACGTGGCGTAACCTGGACAATCAACACCGGGCACCAAGCCGACTGATTTAGTACCTAACGCTGTGAATCCATCGGCGAAAGCTGCACGAGACATAGCTGGACTATCTCCGGTATAGATAACTATAATATCTTGTAGTCCCATTTCATATATAACACGATCTTCCTCAAACTGCACATTAAACAATGTAGGACCTTTCTTTAACGAATTCACCCAATGAAAACTCCACTTCAAATACTTAACAGTCTGTGCGTTAACAGTATACCGGTGGCCATCGGGTTCTAACTGAATAGGTGGATGTTTCAGGCCTTTTATATGTGATGACTTCTGCCGCGGGCGTAAAGATCCGTATTGTCTGTGTGACTTTATTCTCGTATCTGGAAACAACTGACGTTTTCTCGGCGTGGTTCCGTTGTTGTAGCTGTTTATGAAATCCTCATAGGAATTATACAGTTTGTGGTTGTACCACACTTTTTTTATTAGGAATTTCGGAGATTCATTGTCTACATGTATCAGAAGTTGTAAGTCAATAGGGTGTATAGTATAAAATTCCATCTCGTAATAGAGCTGCGCCCATAAAACTCTCTGCTTAGAAAAGACAGCAGGCACAAATAGCAAATACATGTTCGCGCATCGGTTTGTTTCATTTGCGTCAATACATTTGTATAGTGTGGCACCGAAACTTTCCCTCATTACTTCATGCAGTGATGTGTAATTCATAATGGAGTCGTGGATAGCTTGTAGTTCAGAGAATCTCACCTGTCTCAGTCTGTATGGTACCGGTGCGTGTGCACTCTTACGCGTCTTCATCAATGTAGCAGAGTAGTTTTGGTTTAATGGACCAATTAAGTGTTCGCTCACTTCCCGGCGTTGGTCGTTGAAGATCACGACTCTTGCGTCACGCGAAGGTTTCCTTCTAGAATGAGAAAGGTAACTAATGACTTCGTCCTTTGGTGGGATCATCAACTCTATTGAATAGATAGGGGAAGTATATTCAGATGGACGATGATTGTATGTAATGATATTCGAATAAACATAGAGTATAACGTTTTGAATTTCTCTCAGCGTCAAATCATGAAAGATATTTCTAAGGTCACACGTGTCAAATGTGTCTGTATTAGGTGGATGATGAACTGATTTTGAACATGTTTCGGCCATTGCGTTGTTCTCGTGATGCAGGACGACGATCATGAGATAGGCTAGCGTGACCAGAAGAGCGAAGTTTAAAACAACAGACACACCGAATAGTCTTTGGAACACTATCACCCGCATCCGTTCCTTTTCTGATTGTGGAACCTGAATAACAAAAATATGTTGTATTATATGTTTCATAGATAATTCACAATCAAATGATTTTAATCTGTGATATTGCACGTTATATCGACCTATTGACTATTTCTATATTTGTACAGGTACTTGTTGGTTCAAAGTCTTCATTACAGTTAAACGATGTATGAAAAAAGTTGGAATCAGAAATAGATTTTATACTTCATTTTATCCCAGAACGCGATTGTACAGTATGTGACAAATGATCATTGATTGAGAGTGTAGAATGATATACACAACAAGAGGCCCAAGGGGCCTTAACGGTCTCCTGAGGAATATATGTCAATAATCTGGGGATTTTAAAATGTTGCAAAAATGTAACAACACTTGTGCAGGACCGTGTATACAAGTGGTTCTGGAGAGGAAGCCCAAAATGTCTTAGCCAAACAGAGGACAGGGTGGTCAATCTTGGATTTTGAATCGCCCCCCAAAAAAAAATTTGCCAAGACATTGTGTAGAACATTCGTATCAAGTTTCCCCTTTCCCCCCTCCTGGAGCCCCTATTGGGACCACGCCCTTTTTCTTCGCAAACTTGAAGCGGCTTCCCATGGGGATGCTTTATGCCAAGTGTGGTCAAAATCCATCCACTGGTTCTTGGGAAGAAGTCAAATAAAGAAGGTTTTTACATATGGCCCCTTTTACACCCCTTATGGGCCCCAAAGGGGACATCATCACTTTTTTCAACTTAATTTCATATGTTCTTCACTAAGGGATGCTATCTACCAAATTTGGTTTAAATCGGTCAAAGATGAAATTTCGATCCTTTTGAGCGCCCCCTAGTGGGGCCGATTTTGACCCGATTTTTTTTATTCGCAAACTTTTTAGACCATGCCATAAGGACCCTAAATATCATATATATATTTAATCTGACTGTTGGTTTATGAGAAGAAGATTTTTTAAAGATTGACCTAATTTTACCCCATTTCCCCCCTCCCCCTTCTCCTGGGGCCCCTATTGGGACCACTCCATCTTTCTTCGCAAACTTGAAGCGGCTTCCCATGGGGATGCTTTGTGCCAAGTGTGGTCAAAATCCATTCCGTGGTTCTTGAGAAGAAGTCGAATATGTGAAAAGTTAACGACGCACAGCGACAGACTAATCATGATGGCAATAGGTCACCATCAGCCTTCGGCTCAGGTGACCTAATAAACGGAAATATCTAATTAGGAAACAAAATCGACAGAATATTTCCGTGTGGAAGTTGTCATTTATAAGAACAAACGTTTATGTCAGTATCCCAGTATGCGAGATAATAGCAATCTATCTGTGGAGGACAGGGTAGGATTGATTAAAAGAATGGCAATCATTGACGGACATTGCAGCTACTGCTCCAATGACAAGTTTTGAAATAAATATAACAGCGAAGATTGGTTTGTAGAATTATTGTGTGGATTAAGACAGTGACGGTTATATCGGCAAGGACTAGATAAACGGCTGATAGATGTACATAATTGCATGAAGGTCAAGCATTGTCAATCCGTGTGATTAATGAAACATAGAAATAATATTTTGACAGTTACCTAGAAACTGAGAGAAGTGATTTTTATCGGCCATGACTACGATTGATGAATTATCAAGGGAGAGAATGTAGCCGGTGTACCAGTTGTAGCATGTTTTCACTCAGCTCCACCTTAATTAACTGATCAGCATTTTACGGATTACGACTGATTCAATCCATATATTATTTTTTTGTAACTTGAATGTGCATTTCAGTCTATACTTAGTTTGGTTTGTTTGTTTATAAAGTGATATAATCGGTATGATTTAATTTAAAACAGATGCATACATAGATGCACAAGCAGAGGATGACGAAATTTTGATTTCTATAATAAATTTTAAGATTTACGGTATTGGTACGTAAGTAAGCAAGATACGTCAGTGAGCAGTATACATGTAGAGCGGCCATTAGTGATAGTTCCGATCGGAATACCAGAGTTACAGAATTGTCAAATTTCATCACATTAGGTTAACATTTCAATAGGGATATACATTACTGTACATACATATACATATACCTTATTTGAATTAAACAAAAACAAAAACAAAACAAAAAAAGACTAGAAAAATTAAAACCAAAACTTTACGTCATTTTGAATTCTGAAACGAGAAAGAAAATACCAATACATCAACAGTCAGAGTCTAGAGATTTTGAACCACTTGTCATTATTTGATTACTTTGGATTCGGTGTTCTTAATAATTTAGAAAAGAGCTGGTTCTTGCTACATTTGTACGTTCCATTTAGCATATGACATAGATATGATTTACTCCAGTAAACCTTGGGGAAAAGATTTGAAATTCTCCAAATATAACAAGCATTCGTTTGTTTGTAAACACATACATACGCTATATATATATAAAAATTTCCCGTACTGTTTGGATAAGATATCGCCATCTATATATCAAATGGTCTCAATTTTTTATGAATTAGAGACAGCCGAACAGTAATCATAGAGAATAATTTGTGATATCCTAAATAAGGCATTATCCTTGTTAAAAGGTTATATCTATTATTTATATTTTTTACTCTGTTAAGAAAGTGAACACATTAGAAATGTTTTTATACTTGATGTTATGTTTTAAGATGGAATTATATAAATATTAAATTACTAGAAAACGTTTGCTAATGTGATTTAAAACTTAAGACCTTACACTTCGGTTAACACGGTGTTATATCAACCTACAAATATATAGACATCGAGTTTCGCCACCGGGCGACATTTTTATCTGGTCTTCATAACACCTCGCAAACGAAAATTGTCCAAGTGTGCTTATCAATGTATCAACGTGTTGCTTTGAAATGCATTGTCTCGGCTTATGTAAGCAGGTAATTTAAAATGACAGATGTACTTTCTTTGTAAATACAATATTTGTTGTCATTACGTTTCATTTGGACGTACCTACATAGTGATCTACTGACAACTTTACAATTCACCAATAAAGTGCCAAACTGGAAGAAATTTAGGAAAGGGATTTAGAGACATGCGTAAACATATATGTAAATCTAGTTAACAACGTTCCGTTGAACGGATTGCCATTGTTGAATTGATGATTAAAGACACACGAGTACATGTAGTTTTTAGAAGATATATTGTACATTTCTCGTTAATCTATATGTACGATAAAACCTGATTGAAACAGAATCTATCCCTTTATGCATTAAAAGCTTATGCCAGTAGATGCAGGATCACGATGCAATCGATAAAGGAAGCGAAATGAACAAATCTCTATACTTCATTTGATGACAATATTATACTTCTACATAATCACCTCTTAGCTCACGTACTTTTACCAGATAGCATTCCAACATATGGACGATGATATGGATGTTATATGTTCGCTTTCAAATTAAGGTATCGTCCTAAGCAAAAGCTATTAGAACATATCTGATTCATTCGCAGTTTCTGTAGCTTCAGCAGACATAGATGTTGAACACGAATACGTAACTTTCAATACTTTCAGACAGTGTATCAATTACAGAAGAACAATATTGCAGTTCTTCTTAAAAGTAAAATTGCACGCAAGGAGTACATATGTCGTCTTGACTTTGATGTTAATGAACAGTAATAGATACATATAATGCAAAACCAGGATGAGATAAGATTTTACATCTTAATCACATTACTAAAAGAGACAAAGAAAAGATAATAACAAACTATACCACACAGTCGATACGTACTTGTATGGCTTGCCAGTGATGTCTCATTTCAACAAATTTTGTCCATTTAAAATTGGGTTTGTACTAGGTATAGCCTATACCAATTTTCTCTAATTAATGAGGTTTGCCGTTAGTTGCTTGACATGTTTTAATTCTCTCGAATAGTAGGTCGTTTCAAAAATACACATGTACTTGACGCTTTAAAAAAAAATCTGATGTATGAAAATTATCTAATTATGGGGCTGCTGCACCCCCCCCCCCCCCCCCCCCCCCCCCCCCGTCAAGTTTTTAACTTTTCTATTGATCACTTACAATCTTTGTAATACAATATTCATTCATATACGCGCGTCCATTTCCATTCATACGTATGATGTACTCACAGTTATTTTACACCCTAATTCCCTATAGACATAGCAGAGTCAAAGTAAGCACTACCAAAACCGGTTCCATTTTACATTGCTGATTTACAGCAAAAACTGAGGGCATTTCAACACAGAAGTAATCATACCTTATAGCCAAATTTTAAATGAATTCTCATAATAACCGTGATAATTATTTTCTCTATGTTTCTGAATTCAGTTTTCAAATCACATACCAGCATGAATCTAAAATATATAGCGTTAACATGTATATAATAGTAAATAATGGAATGGCAAGATAAACGTTTCTCAATGGGGATATAACTAATCCTAATCTATTACAGGCAGCAATACTGGGCGATATCAATTAATTTGTTTCAA